CTCAATTCTCTGCTTATTCTAGTGGAGCCATGGCTTTGGGGTCGGAGGCTCTGATACTGCCTTCCCCATGTGGATGGGCAGTGGCTGGGACATCCTGCATCCCTTCACAGTTATTTAGAAAGAGATCTGAGAGAACATCTGCACCTCGAGACTCCTCCCTAGCATGCCCAAATGCATCTCTTAAATAAATGAACACTGATCTCTGAAAAGGCCTCGACTGAAGAAAATGACGCGCGAGGGAACCTGTGCTGTTGGCACTTGCAGCCTTTCGTTGTGTCAGGACTCAATTTGTGCTTCTGTGTGAGTCAGATGTGAACCGAGAGGATGCAAAATACTTGACATTTCCATTAGGCTGAACAGCAGAAACACCTTTCTTTTTGATGTAGCTGGTATCTAGGTTCATACTGAGTATCTGAATCACGCAGCTTGGGAAAATGTAGCTTGAGTTTTTTCAGGGTTTTACTCTTTTCTTAAATTTTGATTCCTTTTACAGCAGAACAAAAATATAAATATTGAAAGGAAAAGAAAGGCTTAATTATTGATAATTGCTAAGTTAAATGAGTCTTGCGATTTCAAGCTTTGACACAAATGGATGCATAACATTTTTGCCTTGTCTCCTACGTTGTGCGGCTGTGCTTCCTCCTTTGCCTTCAAATGCACATCCCAAGGTCTCCTAAGGGCCGCGTTTCCCAAGATATCAGAGTACCAAAAGGCGTGGGCAGGTTTAGACTAACATTTGCAAAACAATCCAACGCCCACTGAAACCAATGAGTAGCTAGAGTGAGGATTACAGGATTGGCTTTCTGGGCTTTTTCAAGGAAGTATGTTCACTATCTAATGTGTCACAAGACTGGGTGTTAGTTAACGTAGGGTTTTTTTCTTTGTTTTTTTTTTTTGTGATTATACAGATTATTGCTTACCAGCCCTATGGGAAGTCTGTGGATTGGTGGGCGTACGGAGTGCTGCTCTATGAGATGTTAGCTGGCCAGGTAAGAGGTACCCTCCCGTGCTCACTAACCTCCTCCTGCCTCTCCTGCTCTGTTTCAAGGCTCCTTAAAGGAGCCCTAGAGGATAATGTCATGCTGATATTATCTCTTGTACTCTTGACTGACTCAACTGAGAATGTATTTAGGCTTTAAGCTCTTTGTATTGCACCCACATAATGAAGTACTGCCTTTGAATACGGATTCTTTGTACTGCAATAATGTATAAATAGCCATCTTCAAAATTGAATGGGAGACACTTGAGCAGGAAAATGCAATGTGAAATGGAAGAAATATCGTTTAGTAGTTTGAAACCACAGGGAAACATAATAAGAGTGTATATGCTCCGCATTGCAGTTAAGTCACAATGCAGTTTTTGTATTGTGTGTCCTAGGGGTAAAGTATGGGTCTCCACTTGAAATATGGTAAGTTACAGTCCCCTTATTCTGCACAGTTAATGAGACGCTGCTGTCTGAGTCACTCAAGTAGAAAAGCAACACTGTACTGCAGTAAATGGCAGATAACTACCAATTTTAAGGAATTCTGTTAGTCTTGAGTTGGAAAAGATTTCTGCAATTGACCTTCAATAAGCGTTAGCTAAAGGTATGCATTTCCTAAGCTTAAACCATACATTTTCAACAAATGCCTTTAGTAGTTTCTCTACTAAATTCCAGTTGACATTTGAAAAGTTTTTAAAGTGTAGCAATTGCAGTTGTTAACATTTACAGTCTGCACTACAAATATTAGGCATCTGAATGCTGTTGAGAAAATGAGATTTACCGTTATCTGAGTCTTGCACAGTGCCCAGATCCTGGGGGGACACCCATCGGCACTTTCCTCATCACCTATACTTAAAATTAAAAAGGCAGCCCTTTCTTCTGATAGTCTTCTCTTCACAGAAGCAGAGTTTACAGCCATGTCTTATAAAACAAAGTGGAGTTTAACTGGAATTAAGTGAGGAATGGATATACCTTAGCACAAAGTAATTAAAAGTTACAGTCTCCAAACTTCACCCTTTAAAGCATATTGGCTGCCTGGTGCAAGTAGCTTTAAAAACTGATTAAAGATGATCACAAAGATAATCCTGCATGCGTTTCATTAACCTGGCTGCCATGCTGGGAGCAGAAATGGACTTTTCTCCTCGATTTCTACCTGAGATGGATAAACACTAAACTCCTGGGTCAGAAGATACCCAGGCTGCAGATGCCTGGGATTTTGGTGTGTATTCCTGGGCAAGGACCACTGCTGTATACTGATCTCTTCGGGCATCTATGACTGACTGGAGGCAGGTTGCTGGGTTGGATGCACCTTTGCCCTGGCCCAGTGTGGCCATAGTATTGTCATGCCATTTCCTAAAACGTGGAGAATTTTAAAAAATACACAAACCCCAGTAAGTAACTTACCTGTGATTTGTTTTCAACAGCCTCCATTTGATGGAGAAGATGAGGATGAACTTTTCCAGTCCATAATGGAGCATAATGTTTCCTATCCAAAATCACTGTCCAAAGAAGCTGTCTCCATCTGCAAGGGGGTGAGATAGATGCTTCTTTATAATTAAGTTCCTTTTTGGAAATCCTTCTGAATAACTAAATTTGTCTGGGTTTGGTATGGCGCTGTAGTATTTTTAAGTGCGACTTCTGTCAGGCAGTGCTAAGCTATATTGTCATGAAGTGCTCATCGCTTGGTGTCACTGCTAAGTGTTCAGCTCTTCCCGCTGTGCCTGCTTGTTTTATGGTAAGAGCAAATGTCACAATCAGTAGCTGCCAAATCCAAAGTGGAATTTATCAACAGGATGATGGTGTGAAACGTCTCCACCCACCTTGCCTCTCAACCCTCAGCAGCACAACCCCGGTTTTGCAGGGTGAGGAGATTTCTCAGCTTAGATGGATACCAGATGCTCCAGTGAGTCCTCAGCCCAGTATGCTTAATGACAGCAGCAGAGCAGAAGAGTTAATAAGGATCATTATTAAATGTAGGTAAAGATAAGCTTATGTGAAAATCTGTAGCGTAAATGCAAGGAAACTGTGGGGAAATCCTGACCCTGTGGTAACCTCTGTGGCCTAAAATTTATGTTAGATTCTAAGTCAGTTTATTTTTTTAATTTTTTTTTTTTTGAGGAAAAGAATAGATTTTACTTCAGGGGATTAGCTCAGGAACAAAGAATTCATTTGACTTTCCTTTGACTCCATGTGATTCCCTAGAGTACTGTCAGTCTGTGGCTTTTCCAAGCCACCATCTATAAAAGCATTATTTGATGTCTTTCTTACACTGATAAAATTATCAGTGTAAGTAGTAGCGTCAGGTAATTTGGTATTTTCTTTCTTCCTTTCCTTTGTAATCGTTTATGAAGTATTGTACATGAGCTGGATGTTAATTCCGTAAGCAAAAATCATCAAGGAAGAGAAAAGCTGTTTAGAACAGCAAGATAAAAGGAAAGAGCACTTTAATTTTGGAGCCTATTCCAGTGTAGATGTGCTGGCCAACAAAAACTAAACATGGTGTGTTTTTGTAAAGTACATGCAGATTGATGCCTTGTTGTGAAAATCCTGTATTCAAACAGCACAATTTGAACTTGACCTAATAATCCTGTTTTCAGCTCTCCTGCCTGCTGCCCTTCTGCTGGGGGCTTATGCAAAGGGAGGTCAGAAAGCTCAAATTCCATTGCACCACTCGGTTTAAGGTCAAGTCTCTGGATACTAACGTGTTCATCATCTGTATTAAACTAACAATCCCAAATTTCAGTGAGCATTATATCTGAGCTAAGAAGTCAATATGAGAAAGCTGCTGAAAGCAGTAGCTCAGCCGTCCCAGGACTGTGCACATTGGGCAAGAGGAACGTGCCTGCTGTGCTCTTGAAATTGAATTGTCTGCTTGACATCTATTCCACTGATTCAGAGTTCGTTGGGCTGGTAAATGCAATAACTTCAGAAAGAATTAAAACTGCTAGAACCGTTTTTCACATTTGCTTACATCACCTGCTGTTAAAGCAAGGGGTTTAGAAAAGGTAACGAAAATGGGAAAGTTCAGCTTGAAGCAGGATGCAATTCCTAGCCGACTTCCCAAAGTCTGCTTACAGTTGCTTTTATTTTAGGTTCAGAATTGGAATCTGATCAACTCAACATTTGCAGGGAGACTAAAGCGGTGCAGCTGAGGTTTTAAAAAGATGTGTTGAGGTATCACATCCAGCATTATATTAATTATATTTAAGTTGTAAAAGAGCTTTAAAAAGTCCCCCCAGTACGGGAACTGAGACGTGAAGGCTGCATTGCCCAATTCCTAATGTACATATTAATTGAAAAGATTTTGAGGAGGTTATTAATTAGGGAACATATTACTGTTTCCAGGCATGTAATTATGGTGGTTTGGGGTAGTTTTTTTCCCCAAGTCTGCTTAATCTGTGCGACTGGGTATAGTATTGACCAAGATGTCATTAAGGATGCAAGGGAGGAAACGCAGATTAGATATTGTCAGCTGGGTGCCAAGAAATTGTAGGCTCTGTAATGAGATGTCTTGAACAAGCCCAGAAAAATGAATGGAGGGGGTGTTGTACTTTGTACAGCTTTAGTGTATTGGAATTTATGAAGTTTAATTGATTGTTGAGGCAAGGCAGAAGCTGTTTTGGAGATTTATAAGACTGAACTGAAAGACCAAAGGCAAAATTCAGGAGCGAGTTGTGAACTAATAGGATGGCACGTTGCCCTGAGCACCAGCTGCCCACCCATAACTCCAGCAGCAATCTCTGCCGAATGGGAAAGAGTTCTCAAGTGCAACCCTCAGTTTTGCTGCTGATGTGCTGTCTCCAGTAATCAAACAAGAAAACTAATCTTCAAAAAATGAATTTTAGCTTTTCAAAACAATTTTATTAGCAACTTGCATCTTCAGGAGAGGACCAAGAGCATCGCAATCTGGGGAAAGTCTGTCTCGCTTTCATTCCAGCGTTAAATTTAATCATTTGGTGGTTTCTTCCTCATAGCTAATGACTAAACATCCTGCAAAACGCCTTGGCTGTGGCCTTGAAGGTGAAAGAGACATCAGGGAACATGCTTTCTTCAGGAGAATTGACTGGGAAAAACTGGAAAACAGAGAGATTCAGCCACCTTTCAAACCTAAAGTGGTGAGTGAGATGCCAAGTACTTCCCTCGCTAAATGTGTCTGCAGTCATGCTTTCCCGTGGGGTGAGATTAATGTTGGCTTGATGGTGCTGCAAATCTAGGACACTTCTAAAATAAGGCAATTTGATTATGGCAGACCAGTCTGTAAATCTGCAAACGTTTTGGCAGCCGGTAGCACAACCCAGTGTACTTGGTTCACTGCAAAAAAGTCTCTCAGTGGTTTGAGTCTTGACTTGGACAGTCATGCACTGCAGGAGAAGTTGAAAACAGGGGAAATTGGCATATTCACATGGGCCAGTTGAGATGTGTAATAAATGAAGTTCCCGACCGTCTCCTCTGAGCAACATCTGAAGTCAATGATTGAAGGCACCGGAATTACCGGGGTGAATTTCCTCCGTGGTGGGCTGCACAGCACAAGGAGTTTGTATTCCCCTCCCTCGAGTGACAGAACCCACATCTGCCAAGTTTGCAAGAATAATCCCTGATTTATTACTGGTTTACACACATGTATCTGTAGGAATATTTCAGAAATCCAAACAAGTGAAAGATGTCCTTACTGTGAGAACTGTTTGCGTAATAGAATTTGAATAACTGTTGATAGAGAATTTCTTTCAGCATGTACTGTGCTTTACTGACAGGCAAAGAAAAGTATTTGCACACAAGAGTACACGCTTTCAGGAACAGCTGTAAATTGTTATGTCTTAACATTGAATCTTTTGTCCCTGACACTTTTTATGTTTCAGCTGGCTGTAGCACTGCAGGTGTAGGACCGTTGGTCTGTACACTGATTTATTTACCAATACAGACACGCTTAGTGTTGTATCACGAACTAATGAACAGAGGGAGGCCACTACCCGGTGGCAGAATATATTCCTCTCTTTTTGCATGCAAATGACTTTTTCACATCACCAGGAGGAGAGTTGCATGCCGAGTGTTTTGTGTTAGGGGAAAAACCCTTTTCATATGGGGTGGATTTTGCACGCAAGGAAGGGTGTGAATAAGTAAAGACCACACGTGGTGCTGCCAGCCCTGCCCGGCCAGTCCCCAGAGCTGTCTGTCCCAAGGGCAGCTGCACCTCCTTAAAGCGTGTTTTATGGAAGATTTTCGTTACGTGCTTCTTGAGTCAAACGTAAAGCTGGTCATAAAGCAAATCTGCCTTCACATCTGTAGGTTTTATTAGCTCAGTGAGTGCTTAGACTCCCCTTGAAGTTAAAAGTAACACTAGCATGAAGGGACTAAAAGCTTGAAGTATGGTCTGGTTCCATCATAGCACGTGTCGTGGCAGATCCTGGCTGCTGTTTAGAGCAGCTGTGCTCTGTCTCCGTGATTATCATGACCTGTTTTGTTGATACAGGCTGCTATTAAAATACACCAAGGTGTAGTCACATGGAGCCTAACTTTCCCAGACAAAAGTAATTTAAAATCCAAGTCTGATATCTACATACCCTATGTACAACTCATTTATTGTGGTTGCTGATTCTATTTGTATTGATTCTAGAAAGCAAAAATCACATGACCCTTAACCTGTTGGAAGATATGGATGTATTTATAGGCTTGCTTTGGGCTGGCTTTTTTTCAGAAAACTTTTGTAGGTGCATCTTTTCTAGGAATCACGTTGCTGCAGGAATAATCCTGCTACTTTTGCATGGTTCTCACTCAAACATGGAGCTGCAGATTTTGGGTCAGCAGTTGGTTGGTTTAAATAATGTGTTCCCTGCCAGACTGTCATTTCACAGGATATAGGCATAGACCGCGTGTTTGGCAAGAAGGACATTTTACTCCTATTTGTAAGTTCAGGCGTTCCAGGAGTCCTGTATTTTCAGTTCTGCTTTAATACTGCATTAAGGCTCACAACAGCAATGCTGCTTTTTAATGTGAAGAGAAATACGGAATTGAAGATGCAAATTTGTTGATAAATAATTATATTCACACCCAAAAAAATTGCAAATTTCACATTAATTATTTCTTAGCCTCTACTAGTGCAAGCAATAGCGATAGACCTAATGGAGTCGGGGACTTTGGTTTCCATACACAGCTTGTTTGAACACCTTCCACTTGCTGAAAAAAGAAAAAGAAAAAAAAAAAGAAAAAGAAAAAAAGAAGAAAGAGCATAATTTTGGGGAAGGATGATGCATATCTATAGAACATCTTTTCAGCAAAACGTCTTCCCTTTATAAATAGCCCTTTTGTTGCTGCTCTGAGTTGACTGTACTGCCTCTAAATAAATTTGACTGTTAATTTGGGGATACGTCAACTTTCATTCCAATGACGCAGAGTTTTCCCCTTGTCAAAGTTCAGCTCTGTCCATTCTTGTTCTCCAGAGATTCTGTACCAAAACGCATTGGCTTCAGTGGGCACCAGGGTATTCGGTGAGTGCAGAACCCCGGGTGAGAAAAGCAGGCTGCCGTTAGCCTTTAACCCGTTGGAGTGTTCCTCTGCTTGTGTTCTTCCACGACTGAACAAGTGTCCTTCTGTGAGCACTGTGGTCCAGTACCTCAGCATGCGCTTCTCATCTGAAATACAAACCAACTTATGCCCGAGGCAGCAAAAGTTCTTTGCGGCTCAGATCAGACGGCGTGTCCCAGTCCAGGACATGCCAGGTGCTTTGCAAGAAGATTAGAAACTGTGACTGAGCTGTTTCAAGATAGCCAAACACCTCGCCCTCCAGTTCCCCTCACGGGCCCCTCTTCTGTTGGTTTCTCCTATAAATGCACAGCTTTATCCATACTGCATTAGTTCAGAAAGATCAATGTTTAATATTGGTCTGTTGTACCTGCCATATTCTACCCTTTCCAAGTTATCCTCTAAGTCTGAAGATAATAGTGTAACGTTATCCTCTAAATCCACATGTAGATCTACTGTAGGGAGGGATAGAGAGGAGAGGGTCAGGGACAACGGGGAGAAATGTTCAGTGCCTTTATCATACAACCACGCTTTGTTCAAAGATCTGTTACAGTAAATAGCTTTGAGATAAGGAGATTTAGCAGTGCTCTTTAGAACTCTCCACAATATTCAATGCCCAGTTTTCCTCAAACATGCATTTTTTCTTGCACCCAAGCTAATTTTGTTCTGGTTCCACCTCCATCCTTTTTAACTTGCCTCTAATCATACTTCCCTGCCTTTCAAGTGTTTTCTGCATTACTCAGAATTATTGTTTCTGCAAACCTGATTTCTTTTGTTTTCTGTTCTGAATGAGCTGTGTTTGGCGTGTAGCTATATATAACCCCCCTTCTCGGCTGGGCTTCGTGAGATGACATGTCTCGTCTCTTAGACAAAAAAAGGAGGAAACCTGTGATAACATGTTCCATAATGAGGACCTGTTCTGGGGACGCGCTCCTTGCCCGGCTCCCTCCTGCCAGCCCCAGGACTGGAGCTCTGCTGTCATTTAGGAATTTACAAGAGTTTGTAGGCTGTACAATGAAGAATTAAAGGATATAAATTAATTACATTAAGCTTTCTGCAGATCATGAGGGAAACAGACTAACATGAAAATTTAGTTTTGCCTCATAAAGGTTTTAAGAAGAATGAAATGACTTGACAGATAAAGTATCTCTTGCCGATACATGTCCATGAAAATATTTTCTTCTTCCTTTTTTTTATCCCAGTAATTCTGAATATTTAAGTCTCTTTACGTAGTTACCTCATGCTGATGGATGGAAACTTTTCTGACTCAGCTTTTCATCAAAACTGATCTATTAAAACTTCTCTGTTTGCCTGGGGTTTTTTGTTAAAGTATCCGAAAAGAAAATTTTCTCTTAACTACTCATAAGAAATAGAGGAAGGCCTTGCATGTATCCTGCCAAATCTGCAAAAAGCTGGAACTGCCAATGTATTGCTGATTTTTTCAGCCTCTTTTCTGTTTTTCTTTTTTTTTCTTGCAGTGTGGCAAAGGTGCCGAAAACTTCGATAAATTCTTTACACGAGGACAGCCGGTGTTAACGCCTCCAGATCAGCTGGTCATTGCTAACATAGACCAAACAGATTTTGAAGGGTTCTCTTACGTCAACCCCCAGTTCATACACCCCCTTTTACAAAATGTAGCATGAAACAGCAGAACAGGAACAAATCCCGCAGTGGGGAACGGTCCTTAACCCTACAATTTTTAGGCTTTTGCCTTGTCGATTCCATTTGGGCCTGGAAATTGTAGGGTTAGAAAACACGAGATGGGGGAAAGCCACTTATTCAGGATTTTGGCTTTGCAACAGTGATGTTGTGTTAATGGGAGGTAAATTACTGTACGGTGCCCACTTAATCTTCTAGAAGTCACCACTGACTTGTCTAAACTTACCCATTGGTTGGTACGTTACGTATTTTTGTAACTTCCCGCTGTCCTTTTGCTCCCTTTTCCACTCTGCGGTGTTAGAAATAATCTAACACACGGTCTGAAAAAAAAAACCCACCTTAAATATTTAGTCCTTGGTTGCGGATGCTGGGAGACAGGAGCACTCGGCCCCGAGGGAGCGCTCCTCCCCGCTCTGCCCGGTGACTTCGGGGAGATCAGCAGCACAAGAGACTGAAACAGCGGCGGCACCGGGGAGGAGAGGCATTGCAAAAACATGGTGGAAAGTAGTTGTTTCAAAAATGTGACAGAAGCAAGTTGGGAGGGGGTGGGAGGGAGGGAGGGACAAAATCAAATTAGACCCTGAGGCTTCGTGATCCTGTAAGCAGCACCGAGTTGAAACACTCTTCAGTGGTGGCCAGATCTCTAGGATCTTTGCCAAGTAGCGCGTGATAAACTCAAGGGTGAAATTTTGTCTTTAATAATAATAATAGTAATAATTTTAATAATATTTTTGTGAATTTTAATCTCCATGAGATTATTCTGTGATCCAGGGTGCCATTGTTTGTTCAGTTAATTTACGCCACTCCTTGAGTTTACTGTTAACCGGTTCGAATAGCAAAATTTTACTAAGAAATTTGTTAACCTGGAATGTAAACCAAAACTGTAATCCCTTAAATCTTATTTACATGTGTTTATTTATAGTCTGCAGTATAGGGCGGTAAATCAAAGAAAGCATTATGTATACTTAATTAACAAAAAAATGCGGCCCCAAGTGACTTCCTGATTTCTCCAGAATAACTCATGAAAATCAAGTGAGATTTAGTCTTAAAATAATCAGTTTTAATTCAGAAAACTTTGGGCTGTGGAATAATCAAGCCTGAAAGAAGAAGCACCTAAAACTTGTTTTATTGATAGAATGGAATTTAATACATTTTACTTATGCTTCATGCAATGAATTTTGCATGTTTAGTAATAACTCTTAATAATAAGGGTTAATAATAATCAGATCTATATTATTGACATAATCGTATCAAGCATAAAGAGTATTATAAAAATTTTATAAAACAAATTGTGCTTTATTTGTGAAGTTCTTGTTCTCAATGACATCATTTAGGTTTAGCTAAATGTTTTATTGCTGTTGGGTTTAGTTTTTACTTTAGGTTTTGGATATTGTTAATGGCTTAGGGTATGATCTCTTTTTTTAAATGTAGATCTACTTTTAAACAGTAATTGCTACCTGCAGGTTTTCTACGAGGTTCAATTAGGCTTTCATTTCACGTCTGCTTATTACTTACAGAGAAGGAAATAGACTTTATTTGCAATGATGAACACTGTAATTAATGCAATCTTCTCCTCTCCTATCACTTAGATAAAAAATTTTGATATTTCCTCTTAACAACTTACCAGGAGATATTAATTCAAATATCAGAAAATATTTTTTGTGCATATTTTGGTTTTGTTACAGCATGTAAAGTAGTAGTCAGTGCATTTTCCTTTTTTTTTCCCTTCTGCCTTTTTACTGTTAGCAGCCATAGGCACTTTTTGTCTGTCAGATGTGCATGACGATGCCAGAAGCATGATGTCTCTGTTGCTGCATGCAGACTGATTACAATTTTTCCAGCATGTAAACATATTCAAAAAGTAAGATATTTGCCATAAAAGACTTAAATTTATACTAGAATATGTAACAAGGAGGGGGGGGGGATGGGAGGGAGGGGAATCTGCTTCCTAATCGTCTTTAACGACAATAAAACAAGGAACCTGTGCCAAAGATTCTGTTAGAAAGAGCCAGTCCTGCAGATCGGTAGCCAAGCGGGTGGGTTTGACCGACGGGGTGACCCGTAGTGGAGCGGGACCGTTAGCGAGTGAAACGCGGTTGGATGCGGACAGCAGCTGGGCCGGGCTGCTGCACCCGTGGTGCCCTCAGAAGCCATATTTTTGGTGCCTAGGACACGCGATTTGCCACGCTCCAGAGGTTTGACTTTTTTCCCAGCCGTGGTCCTTCTACAGCCCCAGCTCTGAGCAAGGAGCATCTCCCCGGGTAAGAGCGAGCAGGCTTTGACGAGTGAACCG